TAAGCCTAAGACCTGAAACTGTAAAGCTACTAGAAGAAACTATAAGAGAAAATCTCCATAAAATGGTCTTGGCAATGATTTCTTGGATAGGACTCCAAAAGCACAGGCAACAAAAATAAAAATAGACAAATAGGACTACATCAAACTAAAAAGTGTCTGTACAACCAAGCACATAATAGAGTGAAAAGACAACCGATGGATTGGGAGAAAATATCTGCAAACCATACATCTGTTAAGAGGCTAATATTCAAAATATATAAAAAATTCAAACAACCAAATAGTAAGAAAACAAATTGATTAAAAAATAGGCAAAGGATCTGAATAGACATACTTTCCTCAAAAAAGAGATATGAATGACCAACAGAGATACAAAAAAAATAAATAAATAAATTTCCCAGCCCATCACAGTGGCTCATGCCTGTAATCAATCCCAGCCCAGCATAGTGGCTCATGCCTGTAATCTCAATGCTTTAAGAGGCTGAGGCAGAAGGTCACTTGAGGCCAGGAGTTCTAGGCAAGCCTGGGCAAAATAGCAAGACCCTCTCTATACTAAAAAATTAAAAAGCCAGGCATGGTGCAACACACCTGTAGTCCTAGCTACTTGGGAGGCTGAGGCAGGAGGATCACTGAGCCCAAGAGTTCAAGGTTACAGTGAGACATGATCATGCCACTGCACTCCAGCCTGAACTAAAGAGCAAGACCCTGTCTCAAAACAAACAAATAATCTCAACAATATTTCTAATTCTCAGGGAAATGCAAATTAAAACCACAATGAGGTTCATGCCTGTTAGAATGGCTATTTTCCTGTTTTTCTTCTTCAAGTTCAGGAGTACATGTGCAGGATGTGCAGGTGTGTTACATAGGTAAACATGTGCCATGTTGGTTTGCTTCAAATATCTCCCATCACCTAGGCATTAAGCACAGCATCCATTAGCCATTCTTCTGATGCTCTCCCTGCCCCATCCCAACCCCCAACAGACCCCAGTATGTGTTGCTTCCCTCCATGTAGAATGACTATTTTCAAACAGATAAATGATAACAAGTGTTGGCAAGGATGTGGAGAAAAGGCAACCCTTCTGCACTGTTGGTGGGAATGTAAATTAGTACTACCATTACTGAAAATAGTATGAAGGTTCCTCAAAAATCTAAAAATACAACTACGCTACAATCTAACAATCCTATTTCTGGGTATATACCCAAAACAATTGAAATTGGTACATCAAAAAGATATTTGCACTCCCATATTCATCCCAGCTTTATTTACAACAGCCAAGATATGGAAGCAATCTAAGTGTTCATCAAATACACACACACACACACACACACACACTCTCTCTCTCACACATATACGAAGATTATACAGCCCTACAAAAGAAAGAAATTCTGTCATTCACAACATCATGGAATAGAACTAGAGGACATTATGCTAAGTGAAATAAGTCAGGCAGAGAGAGACAAATACTATCTTTACTAAAGGATCTCACTTCATGGGGAATCTAAAAAAGTCAGTCTCAGAAACAGAGAGTAGAAAGGTGGTTACCAGAGGCTGTTGAGGAGGAGGGACAGAGAAATGGAAGATGTTGATCAAACAGTACAAAATTTCAGTTAGATTGGAGGATTAAGTTTTAGTGATCTATTGCACTGCATGGAGACTACAGATAATAATATATTGTGTTTTAAAATTGCTAAAATAGATTTTTGACATTCTCATCACAAAAAAGATAAATTGGTGAGGTAATATAGATATGTTAATTAGTTTTACTGAATCTTTCTATGATGTATACATTTTAAAAATCACATTGTATCCCAGGAATATGTACAATTAATATATCCAAAGATAATTGAAAAATTTTTAAAGATTAATAAAAAAATACATTGATCAAGTTAAAACATTCAGCAGGTATGAATGTACACAGAAATTACAAAATCCCAGAACTTTGGGAGGCCAAGGCAGGAGGATCACAAGGTCAAGAGATTGAGACCATCCTGGCCAACATGGTGAATCCCCGTCCCTACTAAAAATATAAAAATTAGTTGGGTCTGGTGGCACACACCTGTACTCCCAGCTACTTGGGAGGCTGAGGCAGAAGAATCTCTTGAACCTGGGAAGCAAAGGTTGCAGTAAGCCAAGATCATGCCATTACATTCCAGCCTCGCAACAGAGTGAGACTCTGTCTCAAAAAAAAAAAAAAAAAAAACCACAAACAGAAATGACAAAGTTTGAGCGACATTAATTTAGATTGTAATCTTAAAAAATAGAAAAGTTGGCCTGGCACTGTGGCTCACGCCTATAATCCCAGCAGTTTGGGAGGCCGAGGCGGGTGGATCAGAAGTTCAAGAGATCGAGACCATCCTGGTCAACATGGTGAAACCCCGTCTCTAATAAAATACAAAAATTAGCTGGGTGTGGTGGTGCGTGCCTGTAGTCCCAACTACTTGGGAGGCTAAGGCAGGAGAACTGCGTGAACCCAGGAGGTGAAGGTTGCCATGAGCCGAGATCGCGCCATTGCACTCCAGCCTGGGTAACAAGAGCGAAACTCTGTCTCAAAAAAAAAGAATAGAAAAGTCATGTTTTTCTTCTAAGAAATATTTATAATGTTTTTATATCATAAGAAATATATGACAGAGTTTTTCTTAATCTCACTTTTTAAATATATTCTAGACAGGCAAGCACAGTGTAATTTATTGAGCACCCAGTATGTGCTAATACACCAAACTTAGCTTTACATGCATTTCAGGTAATGCTCTCAACTTTTTTATTTTCCCCTTTCATTACCCCACTTATAAATGAAAAAACTGAGCTATAGAGAGGTAAGGCCTATTGCCCAAAATATTAGGAAACAACAGAGCTAGAATTTGAAACCAAATTCATCTAATGAAAAACATCTATGTTCTTTTCACCGTACAAAGCTGCTATAAGTATCACTGGTGCATATTCCAGGCCAGGGAGTAAATATCATTCATTCTTATCATATACAAAGTATATAAAAAAAGCTCTGAATAGTAAACAATAATAATATTAACTGCTTTATAAAAGATAAACCATCCTCTAAAAGATAAAAAACCTATTATCATTGCAGTTGGTAACTGAACTTAACTAATTTCCTAATGAACACAGCAGAATTGTTTGTTGTCTAAGCAAATATCAATGCACATCCCTCAACCCTGTTATGGGGAATTAAAAAAAAAGTCTTCTTCAAATGCCTTTCAAAACTAATGTGAATATTAAAGTGCTACCAGTCTCTCTATACTCTAGAAAGATCTCGGACTAACAGTGTCAATTAAACTATTACAATAAGTAGCCATGTAAAAACTGCTCCCCTAGTAGAGCTATGCTATCACAGAATTAACCCCAGCAAAAAAAAAAAAAAAGAATTAACCCCAGCAATCGACAGTTTCAAAAAAAAAAGTTGGTCTCTCCTTCTGAAAAAGAGAAAACCAAACTCGACATATTTTGTGAATCAACTGAAAATCATGACATTAACAGCATTTCGCATCCATCATATATTTATATCTTAATTGATTGCTACAATCCATGTAAGTATCACAGAAATCTTCTTAAATTGAACAAAGCATTATCTATCATCCTTGCTATCTGGGAAAAAAAAAACGCAGTTTATTTAATTTATCCATAACATTAGAAAAAAATGCTTCTTTTATCATGACCAATCTTTAGGTTTTGGAATTTTTTTTCATAAAGGTAGACAGTTCATAATGCTTTCAGATAGAAATTATCACTACCCCATAAACTAAGCCAAAATATAACTGGAAAAAAGGCAATTTCTCTAGTAGTGATTAATTTATTGAATAATTTAAAATTAGGAGTTTTTGATAATTAAATGTTAGGAATAATTAAACTTACTGTCACTAAATTCTGACAAAGGAACTGAACGGATGACAATAGAGACAAATTAAAATTTTTTTTTAATCCTTAGTTTTATGCTAAGAAGTTAAAAGTCAAGGGCTCTAATTTTCAGTGAAAGAAAAATTTTTTTTAAAACTGTTTCCCTCTTCTATTATTATTTAAAAGAAAAGAAACTGTTTTTTCTAACAGCGATTATATGATTCTCAATCCTTCACATCAACTTTTAGGTACTATATGTAAGCTACATAAATCTTTCCCAAATCTACCTTTATTAAGTAGATGAAAAAGCAGGTATCAAACTCAAAACATCTAAATGTTGATTTTCTATAACTATAAAAGATATTTTTTTCTGAAATTTAAACTTTTTATTTAGGCATATTAATTCAACAATTGTTAAATCTAAGATTTAATATGTTAATATAGAAAACAACTGAGGCTATTTTCTCTCCATAAAACTAAAATGCCTTTTCCAATTAACTTAGTTTCCTTCTTAGCAAAAGTTTAACATTTATTTCTATTCTGAATTATGCTGTACTCACATAATGCAAGAAACAGCTTAAGATTTAGCCAATTCTATGAAGATCTTATATTTATTACAACACCCCTTTTGTCCAGAAGAAAATACATCAACAAAAAGTGCTACTATATATGTTCTGCACTGACTATTACAAAGCAGTAGGGGGAGCAGCCAGAGAAAGCACTAACAAAGCACCCCAGAAAAGCAATTTAATTTATAGGCAACAGAAACATGCTAGAGAGGTTTGCCAAAAGTCGAACACACAAAATAAATTTCATAAAGAAGTCATGACCACATTTGTAAAGCTGGTCTAAGTACATTTGGAATGAACTATAGAAAAATATGAAGTCTCTTAGAAAGAGTCTGGATTCTAACTTTAAGACAGACTTTCAGCTTGAAACACATTCATTTCCAGCCATGCCAAACCTCAAACTGCCCCCAAATTAGAGAGCAGAAACAAAATACATTTTTCTAGTGATATGTCTTGGGGAGAACTCAAAATGATTTTGTTTTCTCCTTTGAACCTCATTGAACTTACATAGAAGGCCTGGTGAAATGTGCATTATTAGGTCACAAGAGGATAAAGTTACAGGGTTCCACAGCACAATGCTTGAAAGCCCTGAGGCCCAGACCCCTGTCCTGCTCTTCTCTCCACTAACTCCCATCCTCGATAGACTTTCCATGAGAGAAAGGTAACCAAAAACACTGTGAAACTATTCTGCTTTAAAGGTGTTTTACTGAAAAGGCACTTTGCCCACCAACCCATATTATATTTTACATGTTCTAAAAATTAGTAAGGTCTGCGTTTTCAGTTTTAGAGTAAAACAGAAAAAGTACTTAGCTCTTCTGTCTGGCATTTTGTAACTGGAATTTAAGAAAAGCCTAAACCTCTAATTAGAACTTCAGAATGTTCATGTCTGTATTATACCAAAAAAAACTGTAAATATAACTTAAGCATTTTTGTGATACAAAAATGTGTGCTATAGACTGTTATCTAAGAATTATAAAAATCCATGAAACTTAAAACGTCTAGTATAAATTACAACTGAATGGTAAAAAGACATTTTAGCCATGTAGGCAACCAATGAAGTTTGACCTAAAACCCAAATAATAGCAATAACAAGACAGTGCCTACTATTGTCAGATACTAGCTCTTCTTTTATATATATTCTTATGAACTCTTATACTGATCTTTCAAAATAGTTTTTATGATGCCCATTTTATGCTAAGGAAACCGAAGCTAAAAAAGTTGAAGTCATTTCTCTAATGTAACTCCATTAGCAAGAAACAAAACGATAATTCAACTTCCAGGTCTGCCTGCCTCCAAAGCTTTGAGACCTCACTAAAATTACCCTCGATTGTAGCAATGAGGTTCCAAAGGAAATCTGTACAAATCTCAGGCAGATTAATGTGCTTATAAGGGTAAGTGCTGTAGATTTAATCACTCAAATTAAATGCCATCTGGAATCTCTTACCCCACTTGGTACAAGCATCCTACATGTGTTACAACCAACCCTAGCTTTGGTCAAGAATTCAATAATTTTCCTGCTTCAAGGCCATCAACAAGCAAGTAACATTGTAATACCAATACAGGAAATACAGCTAGTTGCTCCTAGAGCATCGTTTAAAACTGCTAATTGGTTATGAGGCCTTTTATTGAGAAGTCTAAGAAACACAGAAATAATGTGTTAGCCCAATTTGTTAAATGGGTTTGAGGAATCAATTTCCTCCTTCCTAATACCTAAATACATCTCCGTAATTATTTTCTATCACTGTTTAAAAATCCTGCTCTCTCACTAGTATTTGTATTGTGCTTTTCACTCTATTAGAGTACATTGTTTAAAACCTCAGGAGAGAACAGAGAAAACTGTCATAATTTTTCAAAGGCAAAAAGAGAATAAACTGAAAGTATCAGTTGGTTCGAACAGTTACATGTAAAAAGAATGGATGGTAATAAAACTAACAACCGAAAAGCAGTGTTTCTGACTCATTCATTCATACTCAAGAAATATCAAATAACTGAGTGGAGATGATGCAAGCTGTACACATTTCCAGTTCAGACAGAAGGTGTGGCAACATTCACAGGAACCTTGGGATCAGCTGCTCCAACTCGGTTTACAGCTTTTGTAGATGTGTCTTATCCATGCCCTTGTTACCAAGAAGAATGGTAACTTTACAACCTTTAGGAAGAGCTTTTCTTCTTTCTAAGCTAACCTGTTTTTGTCTATAAAAAGTCATGTAAGCTTAGGACTTATTTAGGTATAAATATGTTAAAGAATACATGAATGGCTTGGACATTAAAAGTTTAAGCAACAGCTTGAGCTGAGCTAAGTTTAATGTTAAAAATTAGTGTGACAGCAATAATTTTTCAATTTAGCTCTGTCCTAGACTAGGAAAAAATATTGTGATTTTTCAGCCACAAGACATAAACATTGCTTGAATGACTACTTGTTGAAAAAACTATCTTCTCACTTTACCTGGATTTCACTTTAACCCAACAGACCAACCTCTCCTATTAAACCTTTAAATTAACTCAAAGTCTAATTGGGGGCCTTCATAATAAAGATTATTGTTTAAAAACCACTGTCTTATCTGGTAACTTTAAAAGAAAGGAATCATTTTAGGCAATGATTATGACCTAAAATTTTTTAACTCTTAATGTATAGACAAATTCCTTGACAGCTGAAGTCATTTACAATACATTATTAGAACATAGGTCTCAGCATTAAGAATTATGGATTTTAGGAAAAGTAACCTAGCTGCTCAAATTCATTTAGCTGAAAAACTACTGTCAAATAATCTTGAAAACATACACTAATGCTTGCACATTGCGCTAAGTGGCTTTTGATTCTGCTCTTTTCTTACACAGAATCAACCACACAATAGAATTAAGAACTCAGGTCCACAGCAAAGTGTTCCCATTTAGCAGTAAAGACAATGGACATATTCAGCATGTGCCTACTGCTATTAAGAATCAAATTATGAAAAATAAAATATATTTTATAAAACTAAGAATTTGTTCTTTCTAAATAACAAAATGAGAACAAAGGTACCTAATGCCACAGCATGGAGTAAGAGTCCCAGTAAGAGAGCAATAATTGGTTGTTCTGATGAGGAGCTGTGCCAAATTTAGAAACGAGGCACAAATGACCAAAAAAAAACAGAATTGATCATCAGTGTGGACATGGATAGGTCAGTGTGCACATGGGTAGGTTAGTATCTATTGGTCGTGTCTACAGCACCCCTTTTATTTATCTGAAGCCAACTTTTCACTTAAGCAACAATGCTATCTACAAAAGCAATGTTAACAGATAAGACAATCAAGTGGCTGTTACGCTACGGCATTTTTGTAAAAACTGCATGAGAACAAAACAGGTGGGAAAAAAACCATAGTAAGCTAGAAAAATAAAAGCATCACTCATTGAAAGATATGTGCACACAGAGGAACTGTAAGATAATATAACCTTCTTGACCTTCCTTGTACATAGGTGGCCAAAAATACCTAAATATCTTGAAGAGGCAACTATTATTAATTGTCACACAACATTACCAGTCCTTACTGGCTGAATCCTTCAGCCAACTGCATACGACATGCACATCCCTCCTTTTCTGTCCCTCAAATAGTCATTAAAAACATACATAATTCCAATTATCTCCTTGCATAACTAAAGACAAAAAGAACAGGAAATCCAAAAAAAAAAAGAGCAAAACTGAAAACACTATACCTTGCTTTCCATGCTATTTTAAGGCTGTCCCAGGCTGAAGGTTACTTCTTAGCCCTCAAAACTCCATTAACTGCCAAGACCAGCACCTTAGCACATATGGCAGAGATGCCTAGTTGAAGCCTCCTTGTAACTAAATGACCTCAAAAAACTGGGCTTTCTCTCCAAGATTAATGGAAACAAAAGTAATGATCATAATGAACCTTCTAACTCTGTTAATGTTTCCTGCGGATGTGTATGGCCAGCTGAATACATAAAAGCTCAGTTCTTGTGGGGTACCCTGACAACTAGATGAATCAAGGTGAAGGTTCCAAGTTCGATGAACTCTTCTGAATTTGATGCCCTAGGTAGTGACATTCAACTGATTGCACAGACAGCCACCAATTTCTTATTTTCAACCGGGAATCCCAAGAACACCTTTAAACATGCAATGCCAATGGACCCTACTGGGTTTCTGCTGCAAGGGCACAGTGTTACTTAGAAACGCTGTGTCTTGGGAGGTACTTAAAGTACGTCAAAATGCTTTTGCAAAATGTTTATCGAGAGTGCCTAGGAGAGGCAAGGCATAGAAACAGGAACCTCCTTCTAAGGGAGCAGAATAGGCAACATGCAGTAAGCCTAAAAACCTCTCACTCTGTTTTCCCGGGCCACCAGTATTAGTGGCCTCGCCAGCGCGGGAATCAGCAGCCTAGGGGCATCGGTGACAGCGGAACCCGGGCTTACCTTGTTGGAGGCCATCTCACTGACGGAATGCCTGGTCTGTAGGGTCTCTAGCTGGTCCAGACACCAGTCCAGCTCCTCCAGGGTCTCGCTGGCCAGTTTCTGGTAGGCCTCCTCTGCGAAGAGACAGGGAAAGGGGGACTCAGTTCTCAAGCGCTTCACGGGGCCACTAGCGAGTTCAAAGGGAGCCATCCTGCCATACCCCGCCATGCTCGGATGCCCGGTGCCGGCACATGAGGGCTGCTCCTTCATATTGCCCAGCCAGGCAGCGTGACGGGGGCGGAGGCTCTGCTGGCTGGGTGGCCGACCTCGGGGAGGCACGATCTCTCCAGCCTGGCGTCTCGGGTCGGCCTCCAGGGAGGGCGCGCAGAGCGGCGAGCCAACTTTCACACGGGCGGAAAAACCACGATGCTACTTTTCGACGGTGCGGCGGCCCGAGTCCCAGTCCAGGAGCCCAGCTCTACAGGATGGCAAGCGGGTGGCGCGCGCACTCCGGTGACCGCCCCGCAGAGGAGCGTCTGGTCCACAGCCGGGTCTCTTCGGTCCCCGGCCCGGAGCCGCGGCCCCGCGCCCGCCCTGCCTGCTGAACCTTCTGCGCCGCACTTGAAGCGAATGAATCAGCCGCGGCCGGGTGCTCGGCCACCACGTTTCCTGTTTTCTTTCTCAACTCCTAGGGCGGCGGGGCGCAGCGCAGCTCCATCGCCTCAGCTTTCCGGGAACACTCCCCCTCACGCCCCTCTAGGCCCGTGGCGCTGCCTGGCTCCTCCTCAGCCCCCTTACGAAAAGATTCCGAATTGCAAAAGCTTGTCAGTGCCACCGGCCGCGTCCTTCCCCTTGGGCTCAGCCCCTGCGGCCCCGCCGCCTCCCAGTGCCATCCCCCCCGCGCAGCCGGGCGCCGCTGGCTTTGAAGCGCAGCAGAGGAGGCGCGAGCGCGTGTGTCTGTGGGGCTGCTGTGGGACTGTATGCGAGGAGAGCGGCGGAAAACCCGGCGTGGAGCGCCTGCAGCCCGCCGCCCGGGGTCGAGCCCGCCGCGGGGCTCAGGAGGGACCGTCGCGCAGGCGCGCACGGCCTCACACCTGCCCCCACGGGAACCCCGCTTGCTTGCCCCGAGGAGCCGCTGCTCTCCAGGCTGCCCCGACCGCTGCCGGAACCTCTGCGTCTCCACCGCTGGTTGCTTCTAGCGAAGTTTCGCATACAAGGTTATTTAGGACCCTCAAGGTTTCTGAGGGTTTAAGTTTTAGGGTTTCTGGGGATTCGTTTCTGAAGGTTTAAGATTCACCTACTTCAAGGAGGCAGGGTTGTGGGAATACCCGCATTTCTACTAAGACTGCATTCTTTTTCTACCAAGCCCAGCCCCTACTGAGTACCAGACTTCTAAATGTTGGGGCGGACAGAAACAAGCAAACAAAATACACAATGTTGTGGGGTCGGAATGCTTTATAATTCACCAATTTGACAATAGGCTGCATTTTCATATTCGGAATTGCCTAAGAGTGATCTTAAAGGTACAGCAGTGTGGATGAAGCACATAGTGAGAAGAATTTACGTATGTCCTGCATACTATTTCTTTCCCCTGTGAATTGCACAAGACCTCCATGATCTTGGGCCAAGGAAAAAAATCTGGAAGGGTTTTTCTAGCCACCATGTGCAGAGTACACTACAATTTTGAGAAAACAAAAAAAACATGTTCAAAGGCATAGGGTCTGCTCTGTTTAGAAAGGCTGACCCGGGGAACCAAGGGCACTCTTCCTAAGCAAATCAGTTGTGGGAGAACTTCCCTGCATTAACGTGCAGTAAGCAAACCATTCGCAGGGGGGAAAGTCAAACTCCCAAGAGTTCATATTACAAAACTTTGTCATTGTCCAGTAGAAAGAAGATATTGAGAAACGTACACGAAGTGGTGGGATCCCTTGTATTCGTCTTTGAATGTACAGGTATTGGTGGAGAAGAAATTCTGCCCTTGAAATTTAGACTCCATAAATGATCAGTGGCACAACAAAACAATTCGTGGACTGAATTTAGGCTCCTGAGATTTTTCAGATAGCTTTTTATATTAAATTTGTAAAAGTTAGAATAACTTTTAAAGTATTTGTTACATGTGCCATGGCTTATTGTTATCAAGAATTCTTGAACTATTTACTCTTCCCTTTGAGTACTCTAGGTTAAAATTTGCCTCTTTTCTGTTCTACTTCCTCCATCCCACAGTCTATGTAAATATATACTTTAGATGGACAAACAACTGCCTAAATCTTGCCAGGTGAATTAAAGTTTCAGATTGAAGCTTTTTTATTTCCCTTAACAAAAGGAACAAGCTTAAAGATATTAATAATTTTAAATGGTAAATATAAAATACTTGATCTGTATAGCTTCCCCAATTCTAAGCAATGTAAAAATATTACATGCTTGTTATAAAAATCGAAGCATTACACCCAGATATAGAAAATCCATTGTAACCCCACACCCTAACCATCACAAACAATACTTTTGCCTACGGCCCTAACACAATCATTTTCGTTTTACTGAATAATTTCCATATGCAAATATAGCATCACCTAGTTGCCATGGTAGTACATCTACTATATGGGTTGGTTTTGATATTTTTCTCTCTCTACTGTATAAGATAGGAATGTAAGAAATTTTAAGAGGACATTGACTTGTTTTATGATTATTTGAGCTGTCCATAGTTAACCTATCCAGTGGATTAAATATGCATAGCCATTGTGTCTGGGATTTGTGCAGTGCCATGTTTTCAATCACTGGTTACAATGAACCCGTGAGTCCTCTCTGAGGTTTGGCTTTCTGTGTTCCTCTCCTCTGTACTTCAACTTTCTCAAAGCCTGAACCCCAAGTGACTTCCCAGTAGCTAAGTAAACTGCCCCCTGCCCACATTTTCACCAAGTTCCCAAAGCTTTTCAGAAATCACAAGTACAAACTCAGGCCTCACATCTAACAGGATGTGGCTCCACACATTATATTTCAGTTATTTTTTAATGTGGAAAAGTAATTTGGGAAAGTTTTGGCTAATGCTTCAAGACATCATGCACTTTAGACACAAGATTTGCTCTTAAGAAGGTAGTATAGTGACAAGAGGAACAATTTTTTCAGAATATCCATATCCATTTTATGTCCAGGTCAGGTACCCGACTTTTTTTTCTTTTTCTTTTTCTTTTTGAGACAGAGTCTCGTTCTGTCACCCAGGCTGGAGTGCAGTGGTGTGATCTCTGCTCACTGCAACCTCCACCTTCCAGGTTCAAGCAATTCTCCTGCCTCAGCCTCCTGAGTAGCTGGAGGAATACAGGCATACGCCACCATACCTGGCTGATTTTTGTATTTTCAGTAGGGATGGGGTTTCACCATGTTGGTCAGACTGGTCTCAAACTCCTGAGCTTGTGATCTGCCTGCCTCAGTCTCCCAAAGTGCTGGGATTACAGGCATGAGCCACTACGCCTGGCCACACTAGGCATTTTGACAGACAGAAACCTAGTATGATTATAAAGTGGTGTATGCATGCATGTTAAGTTCTAATAGCTTCTGTATAAATATGAAAAATAAAAAAAATCACCGGAACACATCTACATAATAATGAGAAAATAATTACTAACAACAAAGTAAAGAACAATTTGTTCTGTCAAACTTGCCCAAATAAAGACTTATTCTTGATATTTGCATAGAGCTGAGACTATTGCTTTTTTCCAAATTTCTAGGTGAAGAGGCAATATAGCAAGCCATCATTTTTCAGGATCATTAGTAAAGCTTCACTTTTAGGAATTTTAACCCCAAATGTTCTAAGACATCAAGTAACTGACCTTTTCATCCCTCCAAACAAACCTCAAAATGGAGTTGCCAACTATCCTACAGGAAATTGAGTCACCACACCAAGCAACACACCTAAATGTCGACAGCTAGCAGTACAAAAACAGTGAGCCAGTTTAATTTTGTCTTTTACCAAGAACACATACTGCATTCATTAATAAAATACTTCCCCCTACCCCTGCCAGAGTAGGATACACTGTGGCTCTCCTTAAAAATACATGAAATTCTTTAACTGCCCAAAATCTTGCTAAGTCAAGGAACTAAACAGAGAAAAACACCCAAGCAAAAACTATTGGCTAGACTCCCTAAAGGCTGGGAGAGGACTATGGAAGAGCAACTGAGAAATAACTTGAGCCTGCAAGTCCCCTCCTACAACAGCATCAGTTTTCTTCAAGGCACCTTTGAACTATGTAACACCTGCGTTCTGCTCAGGCTTTTCTGTGAACAAACAGTCCTCAATGTTTGCGGGCCAGCAGTTGGCTTCTGTCATAGTGATACACTTAGAGGTTCCCCTGACACATGGGCGGAAACTGTGCCAGGGGCTCCAGGAGAAGATGCTGAAGCAGCAGCTTTCTTTGAAAAAGGAAAAAAGTAATCACCTCAGAGCCACAGCAGTGAGCTAGAGGTTGAGGTCATTTTTTGTGTGAAATGTTCGGCCCATTACTCTTACCCACAACTCACAGTGATGCTGACCATTGAGGTAAAAGGATCCACTCAATGGGATATTTAACTATGTGGACATAGTTTCTTTGCCAACACTTGAAGGTCTGCTAAAGGACTGTACAAGTTTGTCATAATTCCTAGATAGACCTATTGGTATACATGAAGAGAACAAGTCCAAAAAATATCACTTCACTTTGGACACAATTTGCTGGCCCTTAATTTAAAAAATAATACAAATTATAACAGCTAATCCAGATTTTTTAAAAATAAAAGAACAACAAAAAGCTCCTAAGAGCAAATACTTAAATCTCCCTAACCAATTCCAGCTTCTCCTCTCTTAATTCTTATAAAATTTCTTCCTTGTTTTAAGGAAGGAATTGATACTGTCTACAGTAGATAGAATTGGAGAAAATGATTTCTATTTCACTGTGTATTGCTTTGAACTAGTCATTCCCTTAGTTTGCTACAGTAAAAGATTTCTGTAGGTTAGCTCTAACTTTTGCTGACTTAATTTTCTCTCCTCCATACATTTTATCTGATAGGAAATACGTAAAGGCTTTGGATTCTCTTTCAATGTGTTCATGTAACAGGTTTAAGCAGAACTTGCTAGTGGCAAGCCGCTCTCATCTCCAAGTGTATT